CGATTGCCATCAGCATGTGGCGTTTGTTGGTCTTGTCCTGTTTAAGAACAAACATGTCTGAGTACTTTAGAAAGATATACTTCACCAAGAAACTACGCAGTGATGACCCAATACCCTGGCGGCACTGCACTTAGGTACCATGTTTGTATTTGAAATAGATGAAATTATAGGTCGTGTTATTGCTGAGTGAAAGTGAAAATATGAACTAATCACTAAAATTGCAAGTGTGATGTCATGTGAATGTGCAACATTGCCATTAAAGGAGTACACAACCATAAAAACCCAATCACAAGACTTAGATAGAAAGGGCATATGGAAAGAACAGGAAAGTGGAACGAGAAAATTGCTTTGCGATGAGTAGAGGTCAAATAGCTCCGGACCCTAGGTCCCGAGGATTACCTTCCTGATAGAACTTTAATACAGAAATAAAGCTCCCTTGATACTATCCCCAAACACTCCTTAGGCAGATACAGCTCTGGGTTAGATACAAAGTAAACTTCCTATACACTATACCCATCAAACACTCCCAGAACAGGTACAGAGCTAGATTAGATGCAGAGTGAAATTTCTATCCTGCCTCAATTTATTTTTCTCTTTATTAACACAATAAGATTAAGTAAACCACAAGAATAATCAATAAGGAAAGTTTAAAAAATTTTAAAAAAGGTTACCTAAGTGAAAGGTTCGAATGTGGTACTGTCTGCTGTTACCAAACAAGTATATAAACGCTTTTTTAAGTGAATTTGGAAAGGGAAATATTGTATAGAATAGAGAGTGAAAATGAGCAGCATTAGATTTGTGGGATATTAAAGACCATGAGAAGTGAGGAGAGTGGGACTGAAGTATGCGATGTTGACTCAAGTACATGAAATTGACAATGGATCTTTATGGAGCTAAAGCCTCTTTAGTTGGGACTGTGTGCACGCAATTGTTGGGTAAGAAAGTCTAAATTTTTGTTTGGTACAAATGTAATCTAGTTTGTAGTTGGCATCAAACTTGTATCTACAGTGTAACTCTGCCATTTCCGAGGGTTCCAGTAAAAGAACAACTTTAACTAAGAAACCGCTGAAACTGGACCATTTAGTTGGTCAGGAAGGCTGTGTGTTAGGAGCGTGTAGTGATTAGAACCAGGTGGTTCACATTGACTATGAGATCCTTGATTGGTGTTGTTAACCTGGACCAAATCAGGTAGCCCTGGCTGACAGATATAAAAAGGAGATTCTGAAGGTTGTCTCAGTCTAGGGATTGGCTTTGAGCTGGCTGTTCACAGCACGTGGATATCCACCTCTGTGCAGCTACTTCAGAGCATATAAAACTAGCTAGCTTGGGGTGACTTAGCTTGAATGCAACTTATAACAGAGCACCAGAGGAGTTAAATGATTCAGGGACATATGACTACAGACAAAGAAGTATGTTTGGCATAGTCAGTATGAGGAACCAGGTGCCAAATTAAGAACAACAAATGTCATAATCACTGCATTTTTTTCTGCACGGTGTGCAAGATGGTACAAGGCAAATCAGATGAGAAATATGAATGCACAGCTCAAAGACAGCTGTGGGAGAAGGTTCATAAGGCACTGGTAGAAGGACTGTGGAAAGTGAAAATATTACCAAATGTGGTTAAGTGTTCTTGCCGACTGTACAAGTGGGAAATAGAAAGAAGTTTAAACTGAATACAGGGGGCAAAAGATCAAATTCGAGATGATGTGACAAATCAAAGAGAATGGAGGCCAAAGAGACGGTGATTATATGGGAAATGATAAACAGACCCTGAGGGAAGGGATAGAGAACACGAATCTTAGAGGCAACCGGCAGATGAAGTTAGAATTTACAAAACAGTAAAAGGAAAAATTAAAGGTCCTGTATTTAGGTGTATACAGTTTTCTAAACAACACTCATGAATGGAGTGGAAACAGAAACAACCAAGTATGATCTGGCATCGATTAGAGACATGGCTGGAGGATGATATGCACTGGGATCCAAAATTTGAGGGTACATGACATTTAGGAATGCCAGGAAAGTGTAGACAAGGTAGCTCCATTAGTTAACGAGCAAGGATGACATGCAAAAATGACAGTTTTAGCCCATTACAGGGAGGTGTCTTAAGTACAGGAAATCAAGCTGTGGAAACAGTCTGGATAGAAATGAGAAATGGTAAAGGCAAAAAGTCACTTGTGGCAGTGGTGTTCAGGCACCTAACAGTAACCACACAGGAGAGTGGGGTATAAAGTAAGAAATCATGAGAGGTAGTCAGGGAGGCATAGTGATAATCACGGGAGATTTTAACATGCATATTGACTTAAAAAAATGGATGGGCAAAGGTGGCCTAGATGAAGACTTGATTGAATATCTTCAGGATAATTTCTTAAAACAGCATGTTCTTGAGTCGGACAGCAGATGATAATGAGACCTGGTCATCTACAATGGGATGGGATTAATTATCTCATAGTGAAGGGACCCCTAGGTAGCAATGATTGATTTTACATTCAGTTTGAGGGAAAGTGAAATGGGTTAAAGAATGTTTTTTAAAAATTAAGTAATAGCAATTAGGAGGGAATGAAAGCACAGTTGGCTGATGTGAATAGGCAAATTAGGTTAAGGACAGGGCAAGACAGATGGGATATTAGACATTTAAGGGGATATTTTGGAACACAGAACAGATACATTTCTGCATAAGAAAAATTTCAAGGAACATATCCATCATCTATAATAAACTGAAAACATTAAAGATAGTATCATACTTAAAGAAAGAGAGCATATCCATGTGCAAAGATGAGTGGGAGATCAGAAGATTGAAACAGCAAAGAAAGAATATTAATAAAGAGGAAAAATTAAAGTACAAGAGAAACCTAGACAGGAATATAAAAACAGATAGTAAGAATTTCTATGAATATTTAAAGAGGAGAATGAAAGTCAGTGCTGACCCTATAGCATGTCGGAGTAGAGAATTAATAATGGCAAATAAGGAAATGGCAGATGAATTAAAAGGTATTTTGCAGTCTTCAATATACAGGATACAAGTAATATCCTAGATGCAGTGATGAATCAGGAAATGGAAAGGAAGGGAAGAACTTAGGAAGTCATAAACAGCAACAGAGATACTGAGTAAATTATTGGAATTATGGGCTGACAAGTGCCCACTTCTGATGTACTTCACCCTAAAATCCTAAGGTGGCTAGTGAGATATTGACACAGTTGTTTTAATTTTCCAAAACTCCCTTGATTTGAGGACGGTATCATTGGATTCAAAGGTAGCAAGTGGTTAAAGGATTGGCTGGCTAACAGGAAGCAGAGCGTAGGTGGAAATGGCTCTTTTTCAAGTTGGGAAGATGTAATGAGTGATGTGGCACAGTGATTGATGCTTGGGCCTCAACAGTTCATGACTTTTATAAATGACTTAGGTGAAATGACAGAAGGTATGGTTTCCAAATTTACTGACAACACAAAGATAGGTAGAAAAGTAAGCTGTGAAGAGTACATAAGAATGTTATAAAAATATATCATTAGGTTAAGTAAGTGGCCAAAGATATTGCAATTGAAGTATAATGTGAGAAAATGTGCAACTGCCCATTTTGGCAGGAAGACAAAAATGCATTTTTTGTTTAAATGGAGAGAGACTGCAGAGCTCTGAGATGCAAAGGCACCTGGGTGTCCTCATGTATGAATTGAAAAAGATTAACGTGCAGGTACAATAAGTAATTAGCAAAGCTAACAGAATGTCATCATTTATTGAGGGGAATTGAATACAAAAATGTCAGATTATGCTTCAGTTATTTAGGTGAGGCCACTTCTGGAGTACTGTGAACAGTATTGATCTATCTAAGGAAGGATATAAATGCATTTCATGCAGTTCAGAGAAGGTTTACCAGATTAATACCTGGAAAGGGAGAGTTGTCTAATGAAGAAAGGTTGGGCTGTCTAGGCTTTTCTCTGCTGGCTAAAAACAGACAAGATCTCTCCTCATAAGGGAGAATCTATAACCAGGGGTTACTATTTAAAAATCAAGTCTCACCAATTTAAAACAAAAATGAGGTGAAACTTTTTTTCTCTCAGAGGGTTGAATGTCTTTGAACTTGCTTCCACAAAAGGAAACAGAGATCTTGAATGTTTAAGGCAGAGGAAGAGAGAGATTGTTAACCTTCAGCAACTTGTTTCTTAGGAGTGGGTGCAAGTGAAGTTACAGAGGTGAAGCAAACTCGATGGGAAGAATAGCTTCCTCCTGTTCCTGATTCATATGTTCATAACATCACCCCTTGTAGCAAAGCCTAAGGAGACCAGTTGAAACAATGGACAACACCCTCTTGCACTGAAGGCATAGAATCTATCAAGGCACATGTGAAGAATCCAACATATTCCCACAAGCCTGTGGCTACAAGACAGGCAGACTTTCACGTATGTAGCATCTGTCACAATTACAGGACATCTCAAAAGCACTTTTCAACTAATGAAGCACAATTTGAAGTTTAGTCATTGTATGAAACACAGCAGCTAATACAGCAAGCTCCAATAACGGGAAATGTGATAACTATCAACAAGGTTAATCGAGGAATAGATACTGGGCAGGATACTGGGACTAACTCTCCTGCCCTGATCTGAAATAGTACCAAGGAATGTTTTACATCCACCAGGCCCTCATCTTAAAGGTGGCACCTTTGATAGTATAGCATGTCTTCTAAACCACAATGCATTGGCAGTCTAGAGTTTATGTTCAACTTCTGGAACAGGATGATTCCATGAGGCAATAGAAACACTGGGTCTTTTGATTTTCAGTGAAGGTTGGCATGTGTTCAGCTTATTCACACTGAGCAAAGTATAGTGGGTTTCCTAATCACAGACCTATTGAGGGCACCAGAAAGGCCCTGATGAACAGACAGGATTTCTGCAAACAACACATTATCCTTTACTTGCACTAAACCTTAGTTAGATCACACTTGGCAATACCAAGAACAGTTCTGGTCGTCATATAATTAAGAAAGGTCATAAGAGCTGAAGGATTGTAACTATCTGGAAAGGCCAAAGAGGCTTTATTTTAGAAATGCCAAAGGAAGTTCTTTAACATTAACTGAGGGTTTGAGAAGGAAGATCCAGATCTCTTGTTTCCTCTTGGTTAGAGACGTAAACATAAGTCAGTTACAATAAATCCAATTGCAAATTCAAGGGAAAGTGGTTTGCTGAGACAGCACGTGGTTGTTGACTGGTGCTCAAACGTTTCGTCACCTCATTAGGTAACATCATCAGGATGCTTCTAGTGAAACGTTGGTATTCTGTCCTGCTTGTTATTTGTGTGTCTTGGTTTGCTGGTGGATGGGTGACCAGTCAAATTGGTGTTCCTCTTTGTCCGTGCGTATTGAAATGAGTGATAGTTGGTCATATCTCTTGGCAGCTAGTTGGTGTTTGTGAATCTTGATGGCTAATTTCCTTCCGGTTTGCACTACATAATGTTTTCGGCAGTCTTTGCATGGTATCTTGTAAATAACTGGGACAACATAGCTATCCTAGGACAAGTCAAGCAAAGACACGCATGAGAATTCCTGGAGGACTGACACTCAAACCAGAACTCCATTAACAAACATGTAGAGCTGGACCCCATATACTAACCACTAAGAAACAAATAACGAAGTCATGCCATCCATCCCAGCAAACCGAGACACACAAATAGCAAGCAGGACAGAACACCAACTCTTCACCAGAGGCACACTGATGATGTTACCTAGTATGGTGACAAAATGTTTGCGAACAAACTTACCAGCTTGGCAAGCAAGTCAACAACCCGAGTTACAAATCTTCTCAAATACCTTGAACAGCTCATGTATTTGGAAAGGCAAGGACTGATTAGGGATAGTCAACATGGCTTTGTGTGTGGGAAAACTTGATTTGAGTTTTTTGAAGAAGTAACGAAGAGGATTGATGAGTGAACAGAGCAGAACAGTGAACGTGATCTATATGGACTTCAGTAAGTTGTTTGATAAGTTCCACATGGTAGACTGGTTAGCAAGGTTAGATCACGTGGAATACAGAGAGAACTAGCCATTTGGAAACAGAACTGGCTTGAAAGCAGAAGACAGAGGGTAGCTTCTCAGACTGCCAGTCTGAGACCAGCGGTGTATCACATTGATCAGTGCTGGGTCCATGGCTTTTCATCATTTATATAAATGATGTGGATGTGAACTTAGGAGGTATGGTTAGTAAGTTTGCAGATGACACCAAAATTGGAGGTGCAGTGGATAGCAAAGAAGGTTACCTCAGAGTACAATGGGACCTTGATCAGATGGGCCAGCGGGCCAAGGAGTGGCAGGTGGAGTTTAATTTAGACAAATGGGAGGTGGCTGCATTTTGGAAAGGCAAATCAGGGCAGGATTTATACACTTAATGCTAAGGTCCTGGGGAGTGTTGCAGAACAAAGAGTGCAGAACAAAGAGAACCTTGGAGTGCAGGTTCATAGCTCCTTGAAAGTGGAGTCCCAGGTTGTCAGGACAGTGAAGACGGCATTTGGGATGCTTGCCTTTATTGGTCAGTGCATTGAATATAGGAGTTGGGAGGTCATGTTGTGGATATACAGGACATTGTGGTTAGGCCACTTTTGGAATACTGTGTGCAGTTCTGTTCTCCCTACTATAGGAAGGATGTTATGAAACATGAAAGGATTCAGAAAAGATTTTCAAAGATGTTGCGAGGGTCAGAGCATTTGAGTTATAGGGAGAGGCTGAATAGGCTGGAGCTCCAGAAGCTGAGGAGTGACTTTGTAGAGCTTTATAAAATCACAAGGGGCATGGATAGGGCGAACAGCCAAGGTCTTTTCCCCTAGGTGGGAAAAGTCCAAAACTAGAAGACATAGGTTTAAGGTGACAGGGGAAAGATTTAAAAGGGACCTAAGGGGCAACTTTTACACATAGAGAGTGGTGTGTGTATGGAATGAGCTGCCAGAAGAAGTGGTGGAGGCTGGTACAATTACAACATTTAAAAGTCTTCTGGATGGATATATGAATGGGAAAGGTTTAGAGGGATATGGATCAAATGCTGGCAAATGAGGCTAGATTTATTTAAGATATCTGGATGGCAAGGACGAGTTGGACTGAAGCATCTGTTTCCGTGGTGTACAGTTCTATAACTATGACAGAACATGGGAACCATGATGGCTTGAGGCACAAAGCAAAACATGGATGTGAACTTAGATAAGTATACGAATATGAAAGGTTTGGAGGGATATGGGCTAGGAGCAGACTGGTGAGACAAGTTTAGTTTGGGATTATATTCGGCGTGGACTGGCTGAATCAAAGGGTCTGTTTCCGTGCTGTACGACTACGCATTTAAGGGAAAGTTAGATAAGTACACAGGCAAAAGCAAGACAAGGCTCAAAATCCTAGAACTGTGCAAAAACTATAGCTCACAAGGAGGCTATGTTGAGGTTAGTTGAAGTACAGCAGGAGGCGGCTTACATGGAATATAAACACCATAGGGACATAGGGCTGATAGCCCACTGTAAAATTCCATGTAGTACCAGTATGGTCTGGTTGGAGATGACAAGCAGTTAAGTTTAATTATGATGCCTGCCACAGCCAAATAACCATGAAGTACAGATGCCTGATCCAGCATCACATATGCAACCGCCACTCACTGAATTATTCTGCCGATAGGAATCAATGAACACTTTAGAAAGTTAGTTAAACTAGCAGAGAGGAGAGTTTCTTTAAAAGATGTGGTGTAAATTGAGACATCAGAATCATTGTGCCATTGCCTTTCCCAACGCATTGTCACAAGCCACGGTGATGAATCAAGCCAGAAGAAATAGTTCATCCATTAACTGAAATTTGTATTGCTTGGTAAAAGTGACAAAATTGCACAATGTTCTGGAATAACAAAGAGGAATTGAAAACAGATGAATCAGTAGTCAGAGTGTCATGAGTTCGAACTGCACTCTCCGATTCCAACACAATTTAGGTTTGCTTCAGGGCTGTTCAAATGGGCACTGATCTGTGCCCAAACTCACTAAGGGTGTGCCTTGTCTCAGGCTTGCACCTACCAGGAAGAGATATGATGTGGGGTGATTGTGAGCCCCAGGCTGACGCAGGGTGTGCTTGTCCCAAACATGCATGGTAGGGGAGCTATCACTTGGAGGGTACATCATCTTCCCAGGCTCACACAGGGAGGAGCAACACTCAGGCCCACTCAGATGGCCTCACACATATTCATTCCAGAAGTAGTAATGGACAGTGATCACATTGAAGACCCTTGCTCCTCATTAAATCGCTTTACTAGGATGAAGAAGGCTCATCAGAGGAATCAAAGTTAGGTTGCTTCTCACCTGTCTGATATCAACCAAATGAGCAAATGTTAATTTCTTTACCAGACACTGGTCCAGCAGCTCTGTGAACTGAAAGCACGAACAAAGTATAATTCAGCACTGTACTCCAAATGAATTCCTCTCCCCCAGCACTGCTCTTCTCATTCTGTCTTCAATTGGATGTTGGGAGGGTACCGACAGGGTTGTCAATTGCCTGGCAGTGGCATAGTGAATGGTTAGGTCTAGGACTGTGACAAAGAGTGATGTGCCTTAGTTGTACTTGTCCCAATATAGTGTTAAAATCTGATTCATTATGTGGGCCCCTCTCACATTTTCTGTCACTCACCTTCCTGTGTACCTGCAGGTGCTCTTGGTAATTCCGGATTTTTGCTGTTAAGATGGCAACTGAGGAGAGAAAGGGAGATAGAGTGAGTTAGAATCCAATAATTTAACACATACCAGTCAGTAGCTCTATGCAGAATTATTTCAGGTATCAAATATATCCATCATCTCTTTACACCCACTGGCACGGAATTTGGTCCAATGATTTAGCAACAGTAAGAAGATTTAAGAGCGGTGGTCATGGGGTAGAGCTTGATATCATCAGTGTACAGGTTAAAAATGACACCTTACTTCTAGATGCTATTACCGTTGGCAAACTGACGATGAGAAATGTGGGGGCGGGGGCAACAATTTCTTCTTGAAGGACAGAGATTAAAGTGAGGAAACAGGAAGAGAAGCCATTACAGGTAATTCTCTGGTTACGGTTAGATAGGCAACAGCAGCAGCAACCTGCTGCCTGGTAGTGGAGAAATGGAGTGGCCAGTGTCAAAGACTGCAGATAGGCATTTTTAAAAAAATCTTCATTCATGAGATGTGGGCGTCGCTGCAATCCCTATTTGCCCTTAGTGCAGTTAAAAGTCAACCACATTGCTGCAGGTCTGACGTCACGTCTAGGCACACTAGGTAAGAATGATAGTTTCCCTCCCTAAAGGACATTAGGGAACCAGATGGTTTTTCTGACAATCGACAACAGATTCATTTTCATCATTCGACTCTCAATTCCAGATTTTTATGGAATTCAAATTCCACCATCTGCCTTGGCAAGATTCAAACCCGAGTCCCTGGAATACCATCTGGAGTCTCTGGATTAACAGTACAGTAATAATACCACTAGGCCACCCCCTCCCCGTAAGTGAAGAATAAATGATTGTTGGGAAACCTGAAACATTAACTTGGCTTTCGCTCCACTGATGCTGTCAGACCATCTGAGTTTCTCCAGAAATTTCTGTTTTGTTAAGAATAAGTGGTTGTTTGAGAAAGATAATTATATAGATCTACACAAAATGCCTTCAGATTGAAGGAATTTAAAATGGATCGTTCCTTTCATCTGAAGCTCAGTTTACATTGGTACATTGGGATAAACACTTGCTTAATGAAAGAATAGCAAAATGTTCCAAAGGTTCTTCGCAGGAGCAATTATCAAACAACATTTAGAACTGAACCATAAAAGATATGGTCAGTAGCCAAAACCTTGATTAAAGAGTGAAATTTTAACAAGCAGCTTAAAGGAGGAGTGAAACCGGGAGAAGCCATAAAACCCTGATCTTGTGGTACAGAGCACGAGTGTTTTAGAGGTGCAAATCAGAATTCAGGGAGTGGAACACAAATACAACAACAGTGGAGCAATGGAAATCAGGAGCACCCAAGCAACTACGTTAAGAGTGGTGAGATCTTGGAGGGTTGTAAGTACACATATAACGTCTGGATGCAGTTGTGTTAGCAGATGCGTGTGAACCTGAATACGCATGAGTGTGCATACATCGAATTGCACACTTCTATTCACGTGGATATTGTTACAATACGGGCGCACAAGCCAGACTTGCTAACACGACTCACAACACAGCGAAATTAAAATATTTGATGACCCTCGAAATTGATCAATTGTTCCTAATTAGACTTTACAAATAACCAGTCTTGGACACGAAATTTATAACTTAAAAATTAATAATTAGTAATTAAAGCAACTTTAGCAGAATAGAAGGCCATCTAATTGCTATCTACAATCTAAGCCCGATTATCCCCCTCCCCACTGACAGACACAGTGAAGGGATTAACCTAAAAAAAAAGAATTTAAGTTGCCAATTCAATAACTGTCTCAACTATGTCTCAATGAAATCCAATAGGCTACGTTATAGGCACATATGATTGTATCTGGCCTGAATTCCAAAGGCACCAGTCAATGCAAACCATTGCTGCAGATCTCTGGAGACTTATCCTTATTTTTAATAGATTAGGGTTCTTTTCTCAGGGCTATCAACAAGTCGATAACTGGAGAACAACTATAGAACGGTAAACCAAACAAAAAAAACTCTAGTCCTGCACCTTCCAAAGCAACACTGTTTTCTCCCCAGGCAAAACCAATTCAGCCATTGGTTTCTTTTTTGTTATATAATCTGTGTTTGGTGAGCTGGCCAGCATCTGTCCTCTCTTGATTGACTAATTTAACATTCAACTTGCTGCCAGTCCTCAGGAGCATGACAACATCTCAGTGCTAAATCGGCTATGGTATTCTTACAGCAGTAATTAACCTGCTTTATCTTTCTAGGCCCAACAGCAAATGTCAGTCTTTTATTCTCTTTTTTAAAAAACAAGCTGCTGTTCAACGTTCAAATCTCAACTGTAACTCTCAGTTCCGAACCAAAAGTGAAAAAAAATCAAAGAAATCAAACGATGGTCTGCAAGCATGTCAGCATGTGTGCATGATTATGAGAGGGAGGGAGAGTATCTGACAGTGAGAGAGAATTACTTTGGGTGCCACCACGTATGCGTTTGTCTGTGGATTTGACATAGCTAACATAGTGTGAATTGCCGTGATGCCACCAGGATTGGATCTCTCAGGGCAGGAATTCAGTCTGTGGCTAATTGACCTGGATGATCACAATCACAATTTGAGCTGTTTCAATGTGGACCAGTTAACTCCATCTTCCCTGGGCCATCCTCAAGTGGTTCAAGGTTGTCCAGAATTTCTGAGAAAGGAACTTCACCATTCCAGTCAGTTACCAGGTTGTGACTGGTGATGTCTGCAGTCAACTAAAAAATTTCCAACAAGTGCAGGGGCTTTGATTTTGGGGAATGAGGAGTGCTTCATTAACTGTTGGCTGGTGACATTCCCTGAGGAGAATGGTTTAAGTTTTTTTGTAGCCCTTCACATCTGTTAAAGGCATGGCAAACAGCAGCATGCATGAGCGGACACCTGCATGAATGGGTCTGAATGTGCATTGGTGTTGTGTGGGTATTTGCCAAGCAAGGGCTCGAGTGTGTCAGCAGGAACGCGTGCACATACGTCAGTACGTATGTATGAGTGGTGCCCTTAAAGAACTTAGAAAGAAAGGGGACAAATGTGTGTATGTGTGTGTGCATACATTTTCCCATTGCAACACACAGATGTTTTCTGTCATAGTTGTTAAGACATAAAACAACTTTCACAACAGTATTGTCAAACTAAATTTGACAGAGCCCGACAAGAAACCAAAGAGGTAGGTTTTAAAGAACAAGTTAGCGGTTGAGATGGATGCAGAGAGACTGTGGGAGGGAATTTCAGAGCTTAAGAGTCCATCAACTGAAAGCGCATTCATCAAGGGTAGAGCTGGTAAAGTCTGGTGTGCACCAGAAGTTAGGTATTTATGCTCCTACAATTCTAAGGGTTGTGTTGGAGGAGATTACAGAGATAAGACAGGGCTAGGGCAGTCATGGAGGGGATTTGAAAATAAGGATCTGCTTTGTGATTTTTTTTCTATGCAGTACTATTCCACTGCCTCCCTAAACAATTAATTGACTCCATGTTGCCTATTTGAGTGCACACTTTCCACTTCAGGGCAGAGACACAAACACTGAATTTGAACAGCATTAAAAACCATCACATGTTACTGACTAGTTGCTGTTCAGTAGAAGTCCTTGAAAAGGATTGTTAGATTCTAGTGAAAATATAATATCAATATTCAACTTTTGTCATTTTTCTTCAATTCAGACTTGCTTGGACCACAAAAGTTTCAAAAATGGACAAATACAGACCTAGCAAAAACAAAGTTGCTGGAAAAGCTCAGCAGGTCTGGCAGCATCTGTGAAGGAGAAAACAGAGTTAACGTTTCAGGTCTGGTGACCCTTCCTCAGAACTGTGGAAGACACTCAGAACACCCCCGACCTCATCCCAAACCCAGCCCAGCTCGTCCCCGCCTCCCTGACCTGTCCGTCTTTTCTCCCACCTATCCGCTCCTCCCACTTCAATCCCCACCCCCACTTCCTACCTACCAGCCTCATCCCCGCCTCCTTGACCTGTCCATCTCCTCTCCACCTATCTGCTCCTTTATCCATCTTCCATCCGCCTCCCCCTCTCTCTCTATTTATTTCAGAATCCCCTTCCCCTCCCCCATTACTGAAGAAGGGTCCAGACCCAAAATGTCAGCTTTCCTGCTCCTCTGATGCTGCTTGGCCTGCTGTGTTCATCCAGCTCCACACCTTGTTATCTCAGATTCTCCAGCATCGGCAGTTCCTACTATCCTGAATTGAAATTAACATTGTTACAAAGGGCACTAAAACTTCTGCACCTTTCGGCCAATTCACACATTAAGGACAACATGGTCGGTAATCAAACTGCATCTCATGAAGTGCGCCCAAGAAAAGGTCCAGGGTGAGTGGCAAGAATGATTCAAAGTTTAAAACAGCAAGTTTGAAGGGTCAAACATTTCCACGGATGTACTTTAGAGTAACACAGACTCAGAGGTTTCTTAATTGAGGCCTAAAAACTAAATGGCTAAGTAATATTGCTGAAGATTACAGTTTAACAGATTGCAGATGCAGGAATATGCATTTAAACTGTGTAAGAGTTAAAATTAACTGTGTGTTGTCTCCTCAGAGGCCAGTGAGTCTTCGAAATGCGTACATCTTTAGGACAGAGCTACAGCTGGAGCTGGATTGAGTCTAGACTGGAGCAGAGATCACATCATCTAAAGTTTAGAGTACTAATGGAGAACACATAGTCCATGTGATCCCTGGGGCTGGTTTGGTTTGATTTGATGAGCCTTCTGCCACTTATTAATTATGCTACAAAACATCATGTTAGAAAAATATAAACACAGATGCTTAAACTAGTATATACAAATCATAGGAAATTGAGTAATTTTAACTGAACACAACACGTCAGAGATTGCATAATGGAAAAACGTACTTACTTTGTACTTCTGTAGAGCCAACATCACTGGGACTCCTCTGCACCTTCTCCACCAGCTGGCTAGTTTTCAGTTTCAGCTTCTCTTTCTGGAGTGAATGATTCAGCATGTCAGTCCAGTCTAAACATTGCAAGGTCAATCACAAGTTAACAGCACAAGGAATTTCCTCTTTTCAATCTGGATTTATATTCCAGCATAGTTACAGATGAGTCCTCTCAATACTTAATCTGACTTGATCACCTGTCTCCTTAAAAACAACTCCATTCGATAGCCCACCATTCTGTAAACTACCATCTTATCTCCAACTTCTCTCTCCTCTTCAAAGTCCCTGCTCTTGTATTTCCCAGATGCTTGAATCCCTCTAGGTGGCTTACACCCATGTAATAGTACAGGTGTAGTTCTTCAGAATCAAACAAGTCTTCCTCTCTTCATCCTTCATGTTCTGCCTGCAGACTATGACATGGCTGACTACACCTCCCATCACCTAATACTTCTCCTCTGTCATCCAGCTGGGTGAGACTAGTTACTAAGCTAATTACAATCAGAGTAACACTACCAAAAGCTTCTCTTCCCACTTGCACACCTTTATCTCTGGTGGCACACCCCACCAGGAATCTCTCCTTAGCCTCCTTCCAGTTCTCTTCCACATGTTGACATTGACAACATCGTCTCTGCTCCATTTTTGCTGCAGGAGCAGCGGGAGCGGTGAGAGCAAGGACCAGGGGGCTGCCGGGAGGTAAGTTCTTCATTTCAGCAGCGGAGCTGAGTGGGAGCGGTCGAATTGCGCTCTGGGAAGGTGAGTGAACTGATATATTTGGGCAGTGGCTAAACCCAAGACACTACATGTGTAGTGTCTCCCACCCGCCCTCCTCCTCTGACTAAAAGAAAAAAAGATTCTGTGGTGTGTTGATAAGGTAAGGTTTTTCATTTTTTTTTTAAATCGTGTGTTGCTAAGTGGAGTGATTTGTTAAAAATGTTTTCATTTCATTTATCTAGTTTTTGATTTTATAGTAGGACTAAGTTAAGCTTAAGAGTAAAAATGGCAGGAGAAGCCACACCCATGTTATGCTCCTCTTGCTGAATGTGGGAGCTCAGGGACGCGGCTGATGTCCCTGACTCCTACACGTGCAGGAAGCGTGTCCAGCTGCAGCTCTTGTTAGACCACATGACGGCTCTGGAGCCGCAGATGGACTCACTTTGGAGCATCTGCGATGCTGAGGAAGTTATGGATAGCACATTCAGCAAATTGATCACACCGCAGATTAGGATTGCTGAGGGAGAAAGGGAATGGGTGACAAAAGGCAGAGAAAAAGCAGGAAGGCAGTGCAGGTGTCCCCTGCGGTCATCTCCCTCCAAAACAGGTATACCATTTTGGATACTGTTAGGGGAGATGGCTCACCAGGGGAAGGCAGCAGTAGCCAGGTTCATGGCACTGTGGCTGGCTCTGCTGTACAGAAGGGCGGGAAAAGGAGTGGCTATTGTCATAGGGGATTCAATTGTAAGGGGAGTAGATAGGCGGTTCTGTGGTCGAAAAAAAGACTCCTGAATGGAATGTTGCCTCCCAGGTGCACAGGTCAGGGATGTCTCAGATCGACTGCAGGACATTCTGAAGGGGGAGGGTGAACAGCCAGCTGTCATGGTGCATATAGGTACCAATGATATAGGTTAAAAAAAACAGGATGAGGTCCTACAAGCAGAATTTAGGGAGTTAGGAGCCAAGTTAAAAAGTAGGACCTCAGAGGTAGTAATCTCAGGATTGCTACCAGTGCCACGTGCTAGTCAGAGTAGAAATGAAACAATAGGCAGGATAAATGAGTGGCTTGAGAGATGGTGCAGGAGGGAGGGATTTAGATTTTTGTGACATTGGGACCGGTTCTGGGGGAGGTGGGACTATTACAAATCGGACAGTCTACACCTGGGCAGGACTGGAACCAATGTCCGAGGGGGTACTTTTGCTAACGCTGTTGGGGAGAGTTTAAACGCATGTGGTAGGGGGATGGGAACCAAATGAGGTGGTTACTGGACAATAAGGAGGTAGTAACTAAAGCCTGTAAGGAACTAGATAATGAAGTCAGTGTGACTAAGGGGAAGAGTAGGCAGAGAGCAGACGATGAATGCAAAAGGGACAGGTGGTCTGGTTTTAATGCGAGAAGTGTAGTAGGTAAGGCAGATGAACAAGGTAAGGCTTGGATTAGTACCTGGGAGTATGATGTTATTGCTATTACTGAGACTTGGTGGAGGGAAGGGCAAGATTGGCTACTAAATATCCCAGGATATAGATGCTTCAGGCAGGATAGAGAGGGAGGTAAAGGGGTAGAGGAGTTGCATTACTGGTCAAAGAGGATATCACAGCTATGCTGAAGGAGGGCATTATGGAGGACTCGAGCAGTGAGGCAATATGGGCAGAGCTCAGAAATAGGAAGGGTGCGGTAACAATGTTGGGGCTGTACTACAGGCCTCCCAGCAGCGAGCATGAGATAGAGGTACAAATATGTCTACAGATTATGGAAAGATGTAGGAACAACAGGGTGGAGGTGTTGGGAGATTTTAATTTTCCCAGTATTGACTGGGATTCACTTAGTGTTAGGGGTTTAGATGGAGCAGAATTTCAGAGTAGCATCCAGGAGGGTTTTCTAGAGCAGTATGCAAGTAGTCCAACTCAGGAAGGGGCCATACTGGACCTGGTGTTGGGGAATGAGGCGGGCCAGGTGGTTGAAGTTTCAGTACGGGATTACTTTGGGAATAGTGATCACAATTCCATAAGTTTTAGAATACTCATGGACAAAGACGAGAGTGGTCCTAAAGGAAGAGTATTAAATTGGGGAAAGGCCAACAATAGCAAAATTCGGCAGGAGCTGGGGAATGTGGATTGGGAGCAGCTGTTTCAGGGTAAATCCACATTTGATATGCGGGAGGCTTTTAAAGAGAGGTTGATGAGAGTGCAGGACAGAGATGTCCCTGTGAAAATGAGGGATAGAAAGGGCAAGATTAGTGAACCATGGATGGCAGGTGAAATTGTGAGACTAGTAAAGAGGAAAAAGGAAGCATACATAAGGTCCAGGCGACTGAAAACAGACAAAGTTTTGGAAGAATATCGGGAAAGTAGGACCAATCTGAAACGAGGAATTAAGAGGGCTAAAAGGGGTCATGAAATATCTTTAGCAAACAGGGTTAAGGAAAATCCCAAAGCCTTTTATTCGTACATAAGGAGCAAGAGGGTAACTAGAGAAAGGGTTGGCCCACTCAAGGGCAAAGGAGGGAAGTTATGCGAGGAGTCAGAGAAAATGAGTGAGATTCTTAATGAGTACTTCACCGAGGAGGGGGACATGACCGATGTTGAGGTTAGGGACAGATGTTTGATTACTCTAGGTCAAGTTGGCATAGGGGGGGGGGGGGGGGGGAGGGTGCATCCTTGAGCACAGGTGAGGTCCCGGAGGACTGGAGAATTGCTAATGTTGTCCCCTTGTTTAAGAAGGGTAGCAAGGATAATCCAGGTAATTATAGACCGGTGAGCCTGACGTCAGTGGTGGGAAAGCTGCTGGAGAAGATACTGAGGGATAGGATCTATTTACATTTGGAAGAAAATGGGCTTATTAGTGATAGGCAGCATGGTTTTGTGCACGGAAGTTCATGTCTTACCAACTTGATAAAATTTTTTGAGGAAGTGACAAAGTTGATAGATGAGGGAAGGGCTGTGGATGTCATATACATGGACTTCAGTCAGGTGTTTGATAAGTTTCTCCATCAGCCTACGATGGGGAACGTGAAGTCACATGGGGTCCAGGGTGTACTAGCTAGATGGATAGAGAACTGGCTGGGCAACAGGAGACAGAGTTGTAGTGGGAGTGAGTTTCTCAAAATGGAGAACTGTGACCAGTGGTGTTCCATAGGGATCCGTATTGGGACCACTGCTGTTTGTGATATACATAAACAATCTGGAGGATGGTATAGATGGTCTGATTAGCAAGTTTGCAGATGACACTAAGATTGGTGGAGTAGCAGATAGTGAAAGGGACTGTTGGAGAATGCAGCAGAATATAGATAGATTGGAGAGTTGGGCAGAGAAATGGCAGATGGAGTTCAATCCAGGCAAATGCGAGGTGATGCATTTTGGAAGATCCCATTCAAGAGCGAACTATATGGTAAATGGAAAAACCCTGGGGAAAATTGATACACAGAGAGAGATCTGGGTGTTCAGGTCCATTGTACCCTGAAGGTGGCAACGCAGGTCGATAGAGTGGTCAAGAAGGCATACGGCATGCTTTCATTCATCGGACGGGGCACCGAGTACAAGAGTTGACAGGTCATGTTACAGTTGTATTGGACTTTGGTTCAACCACATTTGGAATACTGTGATCAGTTCTGGTCGCCACAATACCAAAAGGATGTGGATGCTTTGGAGAGGGTGCAGAGGAGGTTCACCAGGATGTTGCCTGGTATGGAGGGCGATAGCTATGAAGAGAGGTTGAGTACATTAGGATTATTTACATTAGAAAGCTGGAGGTTGAGGGGGGACCTGATTGAGGTCTACAAAATCATGAGACGTACAGACAGGGTGGATAGCAAGAAGCTTTATCCCCCAGAGTGGGGGACTCAGTTGCTAGGGGGTCACGATTTCAAGGGGAGAGGGGAAAAGTTTAAGGGAGATATACGTGGAAAGTTCTTTACGCAGAGGGTGGAGGGTGCCTGGAATGCGTTGCCAGCAGAGGTGGTAGAGGCGGGCACGAAAGCATCAAGATGTATCTAGACAGAGACAATGAATGGGCAGGGAGCAGAGGGATACAGATCCAACTCATTTGCTGAAGCTGTTTTCACCATTATGCAACAAATGGACATTTTAGTTTGGTGCATGACAAGTGGCAGTAAATGACCGTCTCCCATGTGAATCTGGATTCGGCGCAGGCTTGGAGGGCCAAAGGACCTGTTCCTGTGCTGCAATTTTCTTTGTTCTTTGTCTCAAAGCATAGTATTGTGCAACTCAGTTGTACTTCACCTCCACCACTCCTTCACTGTTGTAAAGTCATCCAACTCCTTCTTCAAAGTAGAGGACATAGATGAGAAGTTTTCTCTATTTAAATATCGAGAAGACTTCAGTCCCCACTGCAAACTCTGTTCCCTAGCAAATTACTCCAACCCCCCCTGCAAAGTCTGAGAGTAAACCAGACTATTCAAAAGCGTGGTATCATCGTGGATCACGACGCTTTTCATCCCATCACCTAGACTCTCCACTTGCATTGTCATAACAATCCCCAATTTCGCCCTAACCTCAATCTTTTTACTTCTGAAACCCTCATGCTTGCCTTTATTACCTCGGAATAGGATTATCCCAGTGATTCGCTAACTGACCTCCAAATTCTGCCTTCAGTAAACTGGAGACCAGCAGAAACCATGTCCTAACCTGCAAAAATTCAGTTCACATATCATCGCAGTTATTGTTGAACCACACTGCATCCCTGTCAAACAATGTCTCAACTCTAAAATTCGCATCCGATCTCTCCATGGCCTCCCAACATCTCTTGTAACCCCTTTCAGTCTCACAACCTTCCGCAATATCTATGGTGCTCTAATTGAGCATTTTTGAACAACCCCAAATTTAATCCTTCACCACTGATAGCTGTGGCTTCAGCTGCTGAGGTTCTAAGCCCTTCAACTCTTTGTCTAAACCTCTCCATCTCTGTCTCTGTCTCTCTCTATCAGGCTCTCCAAAACATACTTCATTGACCAAGCTTTTGGCCATCTGCCCTCAATACAATGTTAAGTGGTACAGTTTTCAACATTTGCAACAACTGTGAAGCACCATGGGATTTTTATTACACTAAAAGCACTATTTAAGTGGAAATAGAAGTCATTTCAGCCTCGGCAGAAGATCTGCCTTTGGTTGAGGCTTAAGCAGTGAATTGAAAAAGGAGCATATCATTGCAGAAATAAAACAAGGTTAACTATAACATGAGGAAAAGATGCATTGGAAAGCATGGGCACCACACTATTTCTCTTCAATAAAATCTGATCTGAAAAAAGAATGACTTACATGAGTTGCCATTTCCAGTGACAGCAGCTTTAGAACCACATCATTGGTCCTGCAGAAAAATTAGATTCACAATTCAAATATACAGGTCTCATGTAGGATATGGGGAAGCATTCAGTGACATTTACAACTCATTTGCTGAAGCTGTTTTCACCATTATGCAACAAATGGACATTTTAGTTTGGTGCATGACAAGTGGCAATCAATGACTGTCTCCCATGTGAAAGAGAACCTAATCGTCTCCCCTTTTGACTCAAATGACATTACATGAGGATGGATTCAGCGATGGCAAAGGATAACTCTGATCTCTTTCCACAGATGTTAGCAGACCTAAGATTTCCATCATCTGTTTCTTTTTAAAGTCGCAAAGATAGATTTTAAAAGCTATTTTTAAGTTGAAGTACATTCAATGCTAAGACAGCCAGAATTTTAATCAGTAAGGCAAGGAAAGGTTATAGGGAATAGGCAGGAAAGTCAACTTAAAGATCATTAGGTCAGCCATGATCCCATTGAACAGCAGGGCAGACTCAAAAGTGTTGAAAGCCCTACTTCTCTTCCTACATGTAATGATCTTATAATGTCAGATCTTGCGGGTTACTATTGAGCAGAAATTTAACTGGACCAGTCACACAAATACTGTTGCTACAAAAGTGGGTCACAAATTCTGCAACAAGTGATTTTTTTTTTTTAAATTCACTTGTGGGACTTGGGCACTGCTGACTGTTGTTGGAGGTGGGTAGAATTCCAAGATGTTATCCCAGCTACAGTGAAGAAATGCGATATATTTGAGAGTCAGGATTGAGAGAAGCTTGGAGGGAACTTACAAGTGCTGGTCTTCCCATGTACCTGCTGCCCATGTCCTTCTGCATGGAAGGTTTGGAGGATACTGTCAAAAGGATCTTTGGTGAATTTCTGCAGTGCATCTTGTAGATGACACACACTGCTGCTACTGAGCATTAGCGGTGGAGGGAGTGGATATGGTGCCAATCAAGAAGGCTGCTTTGTCCTGAATGGTGTCAAAGGTTTGAGTGTTGCTGGAGCTGGACCCATTCAGACAAGTTGCACTTTCCTTACTTATGCCTTATAGATAGTGGACAAATTTTGGGAGTCAGGTGGTAAGCCACTCACTGCTGTATTCCTAGTTGTTCTGGTTTTCTAGCCACTATTTATTTGGTGATTCCAGTTGAGTTTCTGGTCAATGGTAACCAACAGGATATTGATATTGGGGAATTCAGTAATGGTAATGGCATTGAACATTAAGGCGTGGTGGGCAGATTGTCTCTTATTGGAGATGGTCATCGCCTGGCATTTATGTGGTGCAAATGTAACTTGCCACTTGTAAGCCCAAGCCTGGATATTGTCCACATCTTGGACATGGACTGCTTCAGTATGAGGAGTTGCGAATGGTGCTGAACATTGTGGAAGAGCAGGAGAGGTGGTATGTGTGATTGCAGGAGCTGAAGCAGCCAGTGTGGGAGTGACTGAGTCTGAGATTGGATGTGCATATTATGTTTCTCCCACACTGGCTACTCTTCAAATCAACACCCATATTGATTTCCCACTCTGAACAAGACTCCCATCCTGCAATTCTTCAGTCCTGTTTAGACGATGGAGGAGCCATGATGTAAGATAATATCCAAGGGGTAACCTTTCTTGAATGGTTTGTCCTTTTTTGAGGCTACTGTATGATTGATTGAAATGAATTCACTCTCAATTTGAATTCTCCAGAAGTCAAGCACTGCACCATGTTGAACATTCGCATTCTGTCAAACTCAGTATAAATAGATAATCTCTCAACCTTTTCCTCTGCACCTCTTATAGAGCCAGAGATCTACAACACAGGAAAAGGTCCTTCGGCCCATTACATCTGCTTCGATCAAAAACAACTACCTAACAATTCTAATTCCATTTTCCAGCACTTGGCCCACAGCCTTTTTTTGTCTTGGCAGAGAGTGCACATCTAAATACCTCTTAAACTTTATGAAGATTTCTGCCTCTACCACCCTTATAAGCAATGAGTTCCAGACTCCCTTCACCCCCAGGTGAAAACATTTTTCCTCACATCTCTTAAATCTTCTGCCCTTTACCTTAATCTATGCCCCCGATCATTGATCCCTCCATCATGGGGAGAAAGTTTCTCCCTGTTGATCTGATCTGTGCTACATCAGAAATTGCAACCAGATCAAGATAGTGATATAAATTACAAAGGGTCACAATGGAGCACCCCATTCTGTAATTCTCTCAGACTGATTCCTCAAATTTAAGTAACATTCTGTCCTTCAATTTTTTTTAATATCCTGAATATGCTCAGCTTTGAACTTTTGTGTGAAACGTTGTCAAATGTTTTCTAAAAATCAGAATAACAAAATGAAACAAGAATCATTATTGTCAACTTTAGATGGTGCTGAGATATCACAAAGATTGGGGCAGTGGCATTCTCCCCTCGTAACTCTTGCTGATCACAGTGAATAGATTCTTTTAAAAAGTTGTTTTTAGCATGAGAGAACATCAGCAGTGTTATCACCATCAGCACTGGGAAAGCAGCATTATCATTCATCCCTATTGCCTGCGTCACTAAGGGCCAAACACACAATATTGCACTTGAGTCACATGTAGGTCTAATAACAATTTTACTTTTTTACCTTTCAGAAGAAGGAACTTAATGATCCGCTGAGTTTTTCTGACAAAATATTAAGTTTTAAAGTGAGCTTTACTGATGGAGCATACAAATCACCTGACCTGCTAAATATACTTTGGTGGGATAGAATTTGAACCCAAAGTTCTGGGTTAAGCCTCCAGTACTAGAACCAACTTTCAAGATTTGGAAAGCACAGACCTGTATGGTTTAAGCATCAAGACTGACAGAAAATGTTCACTGGACCCTGATAGCCAACAATAAAACATTCTATCTGGGAGCCTCTTTGAATTGACAGGCCCGTTTCCTTTCTGCCAAGTGGATCATTTGCTAGTTGTTTAATGATGAACATGCAAAGGGCAGGTTTGAGGCTTCAGCAGGTAGAAATCAGTTGCATTACTACAACAGGAGCAGAGCTGGCAATTTGAGTCTCAAGTGCATTCTAGTAGACTCAGTGGCTCAGTGGTTAGCACTGCTGCCTCACAGCGCCAGGGACCCGGGTCCAATTCCAGCCTCGGGTGACTGTCGGTGTGGAGTTTGCACATTCTCCCCGTGTCTGCGTGGGTTTCCTACGGGTGCTCCGGTTTCCTCCCACATTCCAAAGATGTGCAGGTTAGGTGGATTGGCCATGCTAAATTGCCCATAGTGCCCAGGGATGTTTCGGTTAGGTGGGTTAGACATGGGAAATTAGGGGAATGGGTCTGGGTGGAATGGCCTTCCGCGGGGCAGTGTGGACTCGATGGGCCGAATGGCCTGTTTCCACGCTGTAGGGATATGTATGATATATCTGGTCTGTACTTCAAGCCCATTCAGACAGCTTTAATATGTAGCTTTTGATATCCTTACATAATAGAAAACTATCAATGCATGTCAATGAAAACTCCAAGTGACCTTCACAATCTAAAATCTCTTAGTTTAGAAAGTTTCAGATCTCAACCACAGAGGATAAACTGTTTCCTGAGTTTACTCCTGAATGACCAAGCTATAAGTTTGTGTTTGGATTTCCCACCAGATGGAATAGTTTCTGCGATGAATTCTCTTCATCATTCTGAACGCTAGTCAGATCATCCCTTAATCTTCTGTACAAAGGTACCAGATGAAAGTATGCTAGAAGTTGATTGGCTCTGGCCACTCAATCTCAATGGGCTGCAATGGGAGATACAAGTACACATACAATATTCAAAAACCCAGCAGCTGCAACCACAGGTTGAAGAGATCCCTCCTGACATAGTGCCTTCAGTACATTGGAAAGGCCAACTGCATATTCAAGACATTCAATTCCACAATTAGGTGCATTTAACACCAATTGCTTAATCAAAGTCTTCATGTCTCTGGATGGGGAGCTGACTTCCTTCTAGAGGACTCAGTTATTGAACTTGGGAGTTCAGGGTCACAGAATCATAGAACATAGTGCAGAAAGAGGCTATTCAGCCCATCAAATCTGCATCAACCCTCTGACCAGCATCCTACCCACCCCATCCCTGTAACCCCTCATGAGGTTTGTAGCATGACTAACCCATTTCACTGGCACATCCCTGGACACTCAGGCAATATTTTTGCCCCGATGGCCAATCCACCTAACTTGCTCATCTTTGGACTGTGGCAGATAACCCATGCAGACACAGGGAGGACATGCAAATGCCACACAGGGCTGAAATCAAACCCGGGTCCTTGGTACTGTGAGGCAGCATTGCTAACCACTGTGCCATCATGCTGCCCCTGCAGATGAGACTTGAACTCATAACCCATTACTTAAGAGGTCCATGCCTTTTCCTAGTATCTCGACCCCATATACCCAGCAGCACCCCATCGAAACACACGCCAACCATCCCCCCCACCCCCAAATCAGCGCATGAGTTGAGCAGAGAAACGTGAAGCTTCAGCATTTCAATGCAGTATCTGTCATCAGGAAACTCAGTGTACATACGTATTCATTATTTCCAGGTCTTTGTAGTCCTTCTTCAGCATGGTTGGTGACAAGTCATCCAGCTGGCTGGGAAATTCTGCAATGAGGAAAACGCATTAAAATACGATAACATTTGGACTTCACAGAATTGTTTAGCACAGAAGGACATTCTGCCCAGCATGCCTCTACCAGCTCATTAACAGCCACCCAATAACCTGTCCTTCCCACAGACGGCTGCAAACATTTTCTTCTGGCTTTTGATAGTTGCTATTGAATTGGCTTCCATTTTTTTTTGGGCAGTGCATCCAGGTTTTTCCCAATCTACACATCTCTGACCTTGTGGTAGAGCTCCACTTACTGGCTGCGCTCTGACAGTGCACCCACATGTCCATTAATATTTTGAAACACTCAGCTAAGTGCCCTTTTCAATTTTGCACATCATTTTTAGTGAAACCTCATTGATGTTGAGTAGAAGTCGGGGTATAGGTACCACACCAAGTCAGCCTACCAGATAGAACAGCATTCCCCTGTACCCAGGGCCAGTGTTAGATGTCTCCAGCTATGAGCCCTGTGTCATCCTGTATCACACCACCTGTCGCTGAAAATCTGCAATAGTTCAAGCATCAGAGATGTAGTTAATTGAGAGATCGGTTGGGCAAATAACTTGTAACCTTGAATTTTTGAGGAAACTCACGAGGCTGTTGTTACAGTCATCATTTGCCTCTTGCTCCCAACACAAAGCCAAACTACTTGGGCTCACAGCACCCCCATCAATTCCATGATCACTGATTCAAGCTGTTAACATTTCAGTTTTTTTCTTCCCTTGCCAATTCTAGCACCTTGCTGTCATCCTTGTTTCGGATTGTGACATCTTGGCCCTTTCTGAACTTGATGGCCCATTTCTGTCTTGGTTCAAAGTAGGATGTCCAGACTTACTTAGACAAGTTATAACAATGTGTGTCCAGGATCTTACTGTGGCAATTTATTATTCTCTCACACTTTATGAATGGGCAGCATGCAAATATGGGCAAGTGTGTCACTGGGACCCTCATATCTCTGTCAGAATTTTATTATGCGAGATCAGCCCTGTGTTAGGGTCGACTTTGTAGGGTACGTTGTAAATAGGAGCAGAGGTAGGCCATTCAGCCCCTCAAGCCTGCTCCAACATTTAATATGATTATGGCTGATCAAGCTCAATACCCCAATACCACTCTCCCCAGTATCCCTTGATCCCTTTAGCCACAAGAGTTATAGCTACATCTGCCTTAAAAACACTTTGGCCTCAACCACTTTCTGTGGTAATGAATTCCAGACTCACCATTCCCTGGGTGAAGAAATTTCTTGTCATCTCAGTACTAAAGATTTACCCCTTAACCATAAACTGTGACCCCTGGTTCTGGGTTGCCTCACCATTGGAAACATCTTTCCTGCATCTCTACTGTCTGTCCTGTTAGAATTTTATGGGTTTCTATGAGATTCTCCCCTCGTTCTTCTAAACTCCAGTAAATACGGTCCTAATTGACTCACTCAACCTCTTCTCATATATTCTCCAGCATCTGCAGTTCCTACTATCTCTCTCATCCCAGGAATCAATTTGGTAAACCTTTGCTGCACTCCCGCTATACCAAGCACATCCTTCCTCAGCTACGGAGACCAAAACCGCACACAACATTTCAGAAGTTGGACCACCAATGCCCTGCATAACTGCAGCAAGGCATCCTTTTCCTATACTCCAATCTTCAAATACATAACAGTTGGCCTTCTTTACTGCCTGCTACACCAGGGTAATTACTTTCAGTGACTGGTGCACAAGGGACACCCAGGTCTCACTGAGTATTGCCCTCTCAGTTCACAGCCATTTAAATAATAATCTGCCTTCCTACTTTTGCTGTAAAAGCCAACCACCTCACATTTATTCACATTTTACTGCATCGGCCATGCCTGCTCAGCCTGCAAAAAAAAAAAAAAAAAAAAAAAAAAAAAAAAAAAAAAAAAAAAAAATCACACTGCAACATCTCTGCATCCTCCTCATAGCTCACCCTTGAATACATGCTGCATCACAGCAAGAAACTGTTAATTAGGGAAGATAATTTTATGTTGCATGCAGATTTTATTCTGGTGTTTTAAACCTTTTGCTTTTATAGCTCAATATGCTTATTCCCTGGCTTTTAAGCTTTAACCACTTTTGCAAATTCCCACTCCGTCCACACAGCGTGATTACTTATCAGAATGACTGGACCAGTTTAATGTTCCTTTCCATCCCAGTATCCAAGTCATTAAACAAAGGTGTTGTCCATGAAGGCCAAAGCAGAATACTTGATTCATCTGTCTCCCAGGAGCACGGATACCCCTGGGTTGGCCCTTTCCAAACAGCACACCAAAAGATCCAAGGCAATATTGAATAGTATTAGTGAGAAAGGGTTGCCCTGCTTAACTCCTCTCTCCATGTTGATTGGAGTGATCTTAGTTTTGTTTCTTGCACCACTGTGGTAATGTTTAAGTCCTAGATTAGCGTTATGAAGTCTTTGGGAACACACACACTTGTGTTTTAATAAGTAGTTTGCAGCCAATGGAGTCAAAGGCCTTCACAAGCTTGACAAAAGCAGCTGCTAGGTTATTTCAGTTGCTAGGAAACCCTTTTGCATAGAATTGATTTTGGTTGGTGAAACGACTGAGCGAGACATAATCTTTGTGAACAAGTGGAGCAGCATTGGACTTACGGGATGGACATCAGTTGTCACTGTCTTTCAGATGATTTGCTCCATTTAAAGGTGACAGGTATTGGGTTTGATTTCAGCCAGTGAGAGAACAGTTGGGTTAGGCATGTGGTGCCCGCAACATGGATGTCCTTGACATCTTCCAAGCTCCTCTTGTCTGGACTAGCTGCATTTTTCATATCAATCCCCTTGATAGCTACAATTACTTCCATCTGCTCCTCTATTGGCCTCATCAACAGCCCATCATCCTCTCGTCTGGAATATGTGGCGAATTTGCTGAGGCTCACCATATTGTTTGCAGCTTAAAGCTTTGTATGAAAACTTTTTTTCCCGCCTTCTTCTGCAAGGAGAGGCTGTGGATAGCGCTTACACCATCTGTCTGGCAAGTTGGTGCCTGCTGGTTCCATGCATGAATTACATGGCTCAGAATAGGGCTTTCTGGATCACCTAGCTTTTCAAAATACCAGTATCCTTTACCTTTCTTTGATTGCCTCTGAGGCCATTTTGCTGTTTTCACGGTCACACTTAATAAAGTCGGGGATGCCTGTTCAGTGCCAAGTGCTCTGGGACACCCCAAACATCCATAAGTTCTTTGGATTGAGTGTGTTGGTCATTAATATGCCTACATTTTGGCTGGTGACTTGACTATCATGTTTTGGACATCTGCAGCCCATGTCAGGAGAGGAGACATCCTCTCAGTAGCTCATCTTCTGGGAAATCATGAACAAGATTGTGCAGTGTTATTGCTTTGCTTGGGCCTCCAATTGGATGTTCTGCAACCATCTGCACTTGGCTGTTGCTTGCTTAGCTACTTCATTTTCAGGACATCAGCTATCTTTTTAGTGAATTGTATGGCATCCACTAAACTACTAAGCAAACTCACAAAGATTAGTTTCTTCCTTCACTTTTTCCTCCGCTGTGGCTTGGGTATGGCTTTCAAGACTGCGAGACGTTTCTTGTTTGCCTGTTGTGTGTTGCATACCTGATCCATTCATGCCACCAAAGCTAATCTTTAGTCATGAATTGTAGTTGACACAGACTACGTGCCTGCATGTTTAGAAAGGGTGGAGTGGTGTTTACAGTGTGGTGATAATATGTTGGCATTGGGGGCCCATTTTCTCCTTTGAGTAGAGCCCATTCCGAAGTCTCTCACACAACTGGGCTAGCCAGCTAAAGTTTTAAGCTATCCATTAGTTCACAGCACCCTGCAACCATCGATCTCTCTAACACCCAGCTTCTGTATTAGTTCAGTTATCCATGTGTTATTTCATATAGCAAGAGCCGATTCCCCCAGGAATCTGCACTGTCCACTGTTGTTCGGTACATACCTCGGGTTTTCTTCGAGATGCTGGCATAATTGTTCACGACCACCAAGCTGGCACCTGTAGAAAGACAGTCAACACTCAAACAATGGCCACGAAAGGGGTTAGACACTATCTTGTCTACCATCACACAACAGTAAACTTGTATTGCAATATTTCCTAAACTGGATCTGGAGGCAAAGGCTATGAGCACAGCAAAAATAGTCAAACTGAAGTGCACTCAGACACCTTTCATATAAAAAATTAGCACAGTTGGCTGGTTTGCAATGCAGACTTACGCCAACAGCATGGGTTCAATTCCCACAATTACCATGAAAGAGTCTCCTTTAACTCTTCCCTCTCCTGAAGTGTGGTGACCTCAGCTTAAACCACCAGTCATCTCTATCTAATGACAGAGCAGCTCTATGGTCCAGTAGCACTATGGTTACTGTTATAATATTAGACAGTTCAAGAAGATTAGCTTCTCATAACCCATTCTCCCTCCCCCCGCAAGCCCGCACCACTGGCTGCAGACCCCATCTCCTGGGATTCTTATACCTCTGGCTCATGTCCTGACATTCCTCCCCCTTCTCATGCTGCGTTTGCCTGTTACTTGGGCCTTCTCAATACCAACCACACCCCCAACCGGTGGTCAAGCCCTGTTAGCCCCTGCTGCCCTCCCACTCCCTCCAATCCCAGGTGGATAGGCTGTCACCTCCCCCGAGGTGAACAGTCCCCTGCTCCTCTCCTTCACTCTAGGCCCCCTACCCTCCCCGTACCTCTAACCCCGCCATTCTACCTGCTCCCCCTCTGTCTCCTCTTCCTCTTCCCTACATTGCACACTGCCCCTCCCCTCCCCCCCCCGTCCCGTCCCGTCCCCAGGAACCCCTACTCCTCACCTTATCCCCAGGCCCGTTATTCCTCTTTCTTTTCCTTTCCTCACCTCCGGCTCCAGCCGCTCCTCACCTTCCCCCCACACACCCCCTTGCCCATCCCCACCCCAAAACCTGAACCCGCCCTTTACCTCCGCCCAGGCTGTCCCGGAGTGATGATCCCCGGGACTCCCACCCTGCACCTTACCTCTCCACTGTCCGCTCACAATCACCCCGGGGCCCTCCCGGGTGAATATGGACCATCCTCCGGGTCTCAGGAACCGGCTAACCGCCCGCCGCAGCATCGTCACCGTCATCAACAACGCGACTGTTCGCGTCATGATGCAGCGACCAGTGCCGATTGGATCCATAGCAACAAGGACATCCCATAGTAACAAGCAGCATCAGAGGAGCAGGAAGGCTGACGTTTAGGTTCTGGACCCTTCTTCAGAAATAGGGGAGGGGAAGGGGGCTCTGAAATAAAAAGGGAGAGCGGGGGAACCGGATGGAAGATGGATAAAGGAGTAGATAGGTGGAGAGGAGACAAGACAGGGAGCCAGTAAAAGTGAGTGTAGGTAGGGAGTTGGTCAGTGAGGTGGGAGAGGAAGAAGCGGAGGACTTTTAGGCCATCTGCATGCGTCTCTCCCCCAGGCCCAACCAGTCCCACTCCACCGACACCCTTATCCAATTAACCGAACTCGTCCTCATCCTTAACAACTTCTCCTTCAATTCCTCCCATTCCTACAGACAAAGGGGGTGGCCATGGGTACCCACATGGGCCCAAGTTATGCCTGCCCCTTTGTAGGATACGTGGAACAGTCCCTCTTCCGTAGCTACAATGGCCCCATCCCCCAACTCTTCCTCCGTTACTTCGCTGACTGTATTGGCGCCGCCTGGTGCTCCCACGAGGAGCTCAAACAGTTCATCCACTTTACTAACACCTTCCACCCCAACCTCAAGCTCACCTGGACCATCTCCGATACCTCTCTCTCTTCCTGGACCTCTCTATTTCCATCTCTGGCAACCACCTAGAAACCGATATCCATTTCAAGCCCACCAACTCCCACAGCTACCCGGACTACACCTCCTCTCAGCCAGCTTTCTGCAAGAATGCGATCCCCTATTCACATTTCCTCCGCCTCCGCCACATCTGCTCCGAAGATGAGGCGTTCCAATCCTGAACATCCCAGATGTATTCGTATTTCAAGGACTGCAACTTCCTCTCCCTCAGTGGTCAAAAACTCCCTCGACCGCATCTCTTGCATTTCCCGCACCTCAGCCCTCACACCCCCTCCCCGCAATAAAAAACAAAGACAGAATTCCCCTTGTCCTCAGGTATCACCCCATCAACCTCTGGATTCGACGCATCATTCTGTGCCACTTCTGCCACCTGCAATCTGACTGCACTAGGATGGATATATTTCCCTCCCCACCCTTATCTGCCTTCCAGAGGGACCACTCTCTTCGCGACTCCCTCGTCCGCTCCACATTCCCCGCTAGCCCCACCATCCCTGGCATCTTTCCCTGCAACCGCAGGAGATGCTACACCTGTCTCTACACCTCCCCCCTCACCTCCATCCCAGGCCCCAAAAAAACCTTCTACATCAAACAGATGGTCACCTGCACATCCACTAATGTGGTCTATTGTATCCGCTGTTCCTGATGTGGCCTCCTCTACATCGGTGAGACCAAGCGGAGGCTCAGAGACCACTTTGTAGAGCACCTATACTTGGTTCGTGACAAACGACAAAACCTCCCAGTCGTGAACCACTTCACCTCCCCCTCCTACACCCTGGACGACATGTCCATCCTGGGCCTCCTCCAGTGTCACAACAATGCCACCCAGAAACTGGAGGAACAGCACCTCATATTCCGCCTTGGAAGCCTACAGCATAATGGTCTCAATGTGGACTTTACTAGCTTTAAAATTTCAACAACCCCGACCTCATCCCAAGACCAGCCCCCGCTCTCCTCCCCACGTCATTGACCTGTCCCACCTATTTGCTCCTCCCACCTCACTGACCAATCCCCACCACTGCCTACCTAAAATCACCTTTACTAGCTTCATCCTCGCCTCCTTGACCTGTCTGTCTTCTCTCCCACCTATACGCTCCAGTATCTACCTGCTATCACCACCCCCCCCATTTATTTCGGAGCCCACTTCCCCTCCCCCATTTCTGAAGAAGGGTCCCCACCGGAAACTTCAGCTTTCCTGCTCCTCTGATGCTCCCTGGCCTGCTGTGTTCCTCCAGCTCCACACTGTGTTATCTCAGACTCCAGCATTGGCAGTTCTTCATGAGTAAAACAAAACAGAGAATGCTGGAGAAACTCAGTAAGCCTGTAGCATTTGTGGAGAAAGAAACAGAGTTAACCTTTCTGAAATTCTGAAGTACAGTCACCCAAGACTCAAAATGTTAACTCTGTTTTTCTCTCCACAGATTGGCTGCCGCAGTCTGCATCCTGGAGCAGTGGGGCCAAGTCCATCCTGCACACCTCAAAACGAAGATTTTGACATTTGGGGCATTTTCTAATAAAGTAGGCGTGACAAGCCAGGAAACATCCTGACTCAAGCTACTTTCCTCAGTAATGAAGATTTACACTAATGACTTTTCACCAGAACATCTGGTGAAACTTCTGGAACCGTTACAATGAAGGGTCACTGGGCTTGAAATGTTAACTCTGCTTTCCACAGATGTGACCAGAGCTGCTGAGTTTCTTCAGCAATTTCTGTTTTAGTTTCAGTTCTCCAGCATGCGCAGTTCTTTATTTTTCTGTTTGAGGGCTTGTCTTCTTATGAGCAAAGGCCTAAACAATCCCCAACCCTCTTCTGCCTGGCTGAATTTGTTCTCACATGGAACAACTTCTCCTTTACTCCACTCATATCCTCCAAACAAAAGGTAATTCCATAGCCCCCACACAGGTTCTAAGCCTTGCCTCCCTGTCTAACCCGATTTGTTTGGCTCATTAATTAGTTATTATTTTTGTTAGCTGAAGTAGTAGAAGGTTACAGTGTCTTAGTTGGCGGACAAAATAACACTCATTAGCTCCCAGAGGTGTTAAGAAAATATACTAAAAGCAGCACTTCCTTCCCGTTCCACACTAAAATCTAACTTGCATCAAATTTCTGACTTGGCACTTAGTTTACAAAAATAACACAGTCCTTAGATCACACTGTACTTTCTCAATCTGTATGTGATAGCAAAACCTATCTATTTTTGTAGAGAGCTGATGAAACACATTCAAGTTACAACTGTTTTAGTACTTAACAGCTATTCAAAAAGTATTGCTTTTGGATCTAGTAATGGGGAATGAACGAGAGCAGACAGAAAAGTAAAAGTAGTGGAACATCTAGTCTATGGTGACCATGTTATATGCTTTAAAATGATGACAGAGAGTGCTGTAATTATGACAAAAATTCAGTCTGTGGATTGGGGAAGAGCTAATTTTGATAGGAAATTAATGGACAACAATATTTACTGAAGGAGAGAATCAAAGAGAAAGAAAAATTATAATCATAAATATCATGCATTTTTAAAACAGAAAACCTTGCTTGACAAACCCAAATTAACTTTTTGAGGAATAACTGTTAGTTAATCCTGAAGATAAGTGCAACATATTACACGGGGGCATACAGAGGGGAGATGACAGGCTGGTGCTATTATTGCTGGACTGTTAATCGAGAGACCAAGGTAACCTTCTGGGGAATTGTTCGAATCCTGCCAAGGCAGATGGTGGAATTTGAATTCAATACAAATTTGGAATTAAGAGTCTAATGATGACCATGAATCCATTATCGATTGTCAGAAAACCAATCTGGTTCACTAATGTCCTTTAGGGAAGGAAACTGCCTTCCTGACCTGGTCTGGCCTACATGTGACTCCAGATCCACAGCAATGTGGTCAACTCTAAATTGCCCTCTGAATAATTAGGCTTGGGCAATAAATGCTGGCCTAGACAGTGATGCCCTCAACCTGTGAATGAGTGAAGAAAATGGTGTTGCAGAATGGGCCAATATTTGGCTAATGAAGTTCGAGACAAAAAAAAATGAGAGTACATTTTAATAAGAAGAGTAGATCACACTATTTGGAAAGTTCGAGGTATCATATAATAGAAGAACAAGGGCAACTTTGGAATGCAAATACAATAGTTATGAAATTTGCACCACAAGTTAGCGAGGCCATCGAAAATCAAACCAAGCAGTGGGCTCCATTTCTAAGGGATAGAAATGAAAAGTAAGGCAGTTCTACTCAATCTGTATTGAACCTTGGTTAGAACACATTTAGCTCCTGTGTAGCAGTTCTGGATACCATATTATAAACAGGATACAGAGGCACTGGAGAGGGGGCGGAGGTGATTTACAAGGATAATACCAGGCATGTGTAGGGGACTATTTCAGCAAAGGGTTGACAGGCTGCTTAGCTCTTCTTTTGATAAAAGGCTGGGTGTAACTTAATAAAATAATGAATGGTTTTGATGGAATAGATGTAAACACAATGCTTCCTTTTGTAGGGAAAGACCATAACTACTGGCCATCATTGTCAGTCACCAATACATTCAATGTATAGAAACATCTTTCCAACAACAACAACTTGTTGATGTGGTGCCTTTGACATAATACAGTCGGTTCTGCCATAACATGTGTTCCAGCAACACGAATTGGCTATGACACGCCTGACTATTTTTAAAATGTGAACCTGTGTTGGCTATAACGCAATTCCATCGATGCTCAGAGGAGTACGCGTCCACATCACATGATCATTTTGCCGACTTTGTCGTGAACTACTTTCTGTCAAAGGTACAATACTCCATGATTTTTATTTTCTTTGCAAATTCTGCCATTTTATTTTGTTATTAGATATGAATTAAACATGTATTCAAACCGTGCTATTCTTTGTGTTAGGCTTTTGAGTGATTTTTGAGAGATTTTGAATGATATTTCTTGGTGGTCTGCCCTAACCCCGCTTTTTCAATAGGCCCCATTATTTCTATAGCGCGATTTTCTATAACACAATGTTGCGCAGGAACACAATTATCTCATCATAGCGGAACTGACTGTAAATGGTTCCGAAGAATGAAAGCATGGTAGAGAGGCAGTGGGAAGATTGTAGGTGGTATTTCAGACAGCTGAAGGCATGGTCATCAATGCTGCAGCAATTAGTATAGAGAATGCTCGAGAGGCCAAAATTAGATGAATGCAGATGTCAGAGGGTTGTCAGATTTGAGAAAGAGGGTGAAACTTTGACCACAAAAAAACTTGCTTGAATGGGAACCAATGTAGCTTAGTGATGCAGACTTGATGTTACTGACTACCTATTATGATGAGATTTATAGATAGTAGAATTCTTAGCCAAATAGTGGGGAGAATGTGAATATCACTACCACTGGA